CTCATTGTTATCTGAACTTTTCATTTTGCTGGTGTTTCCAGTATCAGCCGGCCTTGTTTCTTGCAAGCAGCTTATGGCCTTGAGTTTGCTCACGTTTTTTTCCTTGTTCTATCACTGGGAGAAGTTTTTGTAACATGACAGTAATAGTTTTATTACTAGCTCAAATTAACTGAATTTAGTACTAATCAGAAGGATGAAATGATTGGATATGCTAATGAAGGGTGATAAAGAAGACCCAGCCAATGACACACCCTTTGCTTCAGGAACTGAGTGGCCATCTTTTCTGTGAAGCAAAGTAACATCTGGGATTGGATGAGATCATTGTACTAAGAGTTTCTCTCTCTCTGAATATAGAAACTGCTAATACTTGTTGTACTACTAAGATTAGACTTTGATTTTAGTACACCCAGTTGTCTGTGTTTGTATTTCACATTCTATTTAAGGGTTAATTGTGCTTTAACCACTCCTAAGCACCATCTGCTGGTCAGTGGTGCAAACACCTGTTCAGGTTATTGGTTACTAAAAAATTATCCACTCCCCCATAATGTTGAAATGGTTGGCAAACATTGGTGGAGGCTTTAGTTTTTCTCCCACATGTATAGGCACATTGCACTGTTATGATTAATTCATCTTTGAAAGGAGAAGAATGAACTATGTACACACTTCCCATTGTAAGAAAACTGTTTTTACTCAATCAACAGGCTTTATAGGTAGAGTCAGCTAGTATCTTAAACTAAGGGAAAAGAGGTGTGACTATGCTCATCACTTCCCCACTTAGAAGGCTGGCTCCAAGTTCCTAAAGTTAAACTTAAATTGATTTTTGTTACTTAAGTTGTAGCAAATCAGAGACACTTTTTGGCATGTCTAGTTCAGGGAGGGACATTTTATTCATAATTGAAAATACGAGAACAAACTTGTTTTGGTTGCAAATGCAAAAACAATTACCTTCAGAATTATAGGGTCCTAATCTTGGTATGTAACAGGTTAAAGCAGGAGTGCAGTCTGCATGCAGCACAGGTTGCAGACCAGCTGTCACAGGTGGTGCATACCCCAGAGCAGCTGGGGCAGACACTGTGTGTGGATCCTGGAGTGGGCCCCACATGGGGCTGGTCCAACACATGCCATCTGGGTAAACTTGGACCCAGGGCCAGCACCAGGGACTGGGTGATGAGTTCCATAGGCCAGATTCAGCCCACAGTCCGTATGTTTAAAACCCTAGGTTAAAGAAAGTTAAGCTTACTGCTCCACTTATCTACAGCTACATAAAACTTAAAAAAAAAATTATGGTCACATTTTCTACTTAGTTGTTGACAGTAAGTATCATTTTGTTGTGTGTGGACACTGTCCAGCAAAACCGGGTCCTGGATCTATGATCGAAGCACCTGGGTACTATCGTAATACCCATAATAGCCGCAACATCCTGAAGGAAAATGAAATTGTATAAAAGTTTCCATCAAAAATATTTAACCGCTCCTAACACTTGTGTAAGATGCAAAGAATGTTTACTACATCTTTTCTTTGGAAAAAAAATGATACTCACTGAATTAAACAGCTGTATTTGTATCCTCTTTCCC